ATTCATTGGTTAACATTGTAAATATTTTAAAATAAAACAAGAAAGCAAAATGTATCCGTCAACATTAGTTTCTAAAGTCAGACTTTACATTTTATTTTCACACTTCAGAGTGCCTTCATAAGGCTACTAAAAGATGTTTTGCTACTACTTTTTTAATTGTATGACACTGTATGCCTACAACAGCACACAGTGCCATTATAGCAGCTTTTGCAATTATCATGGTCTTGAAAATATGCACATACCAAATTCACGACAGGAATACAATGATATAAGGTGATTCTGTATTTAAATAAAGAACATCATGTCAAAAAAGCTTCCGCAGACTAAGCTATATAAATATCAGTTCCTAAAGATCACAAAAGAAAATTTATGTGGAGGTCCAGCGCCACCAGGCCACTTTCATACGGTCCCAAACAGCTTCTAAGGAATCAAAGGCTGGACGCACATCAAGGATAGTGTGCTTGGGCACCTGGCCTCCATCATAGTAGTCTATCACATATCTGACCTCTTTTCCACACCGGTCAATAATCCAGTCGTGCCTGTCAAATGGTAGCTCATGCCTACAACACAGAACACCAAAAGCAACTTATAACTGAATTGCCATTGCACTTATATTTTCCTGAAGATGATCACAGAAGTTTTATGCAGAGAATAATTAAGCAAAAACATCAAATACATTTTATTAAGAGATGCGATGACTTACCCCATCCAGTGGCGAAATCTGGCTCTGGGTGAAAAGTATTTTGCTTTTCCACCAAACCTTAAAAGAGAAGGTCCACATGGGCATTCTCTGTGGTGGAGGACAACAGCAGAACATCAGGACTCATCTACTTTATGACATGTGAGGATACACAGTTGCTTTTAAAGCAATAGTTGCTTTTAAATGCAATATTTGCTGAAAATGTGCTGCTCACCCTCAGGGCATTCAAGATGTGGATGAGTTTATTTCTTAAGCAAAACAGATTTGGAGAAATTACATCACTTGTTCACCAATGGATCCTCTGCAGTGAATGGGTGCCGTCAGAATGATAGTTCAAACAGCTGATAAAAAAAAAAAAAAATCACAATAATCCACAAGTAATCCACATGACTCCAGTCCATCAATTAACATACTATGAAATGAAAAGCTGGGTGTTTGTAAGAAACAAAACCATCATTAAGGAGTTTTAACTTTAAACTTTCGCTTTAGGCCAATATACCACTCCATAATCCATAATAACACGTCCTCCAGTGAAAAAGTCCATTCCCTTTTGTTTTCTTGCATCAAAATCTACCAACATATTAAATTCACAAACAGTACTGGATCTGTGCATATTTTTCTCCTGATTCAGACGAGATCACTTTTAACTAGAGAAAAGAATATTATGGACAGAGGACCCGTATTTTAGCCGGACACGCAGCTTTCACTTCACTAGATGTTAACTGATGGACTTAAATTATGTGGATTACTTGTGGATTATTGTGATTTTTTTATCAGCTGTTTGGACCCTCATTCTGACGGCACCCATTCACTGCAGAGGATCCAACAGTGAGCAAGTGAAGTAACACGACATATATCCAAATCTATTCTGATGAAGAAACAAACTCATCTACATCTTGGATGGCCTGAGTGTGAGTACATTTTTAGCAAGTTTGCATTCTTGGGTGAGCTATTCCATTAACATGTGACTTACTTCGAATGGAGCTTCTCCCATCTCAGGATCTCCTGCCAGGCTTGCTCATTATTCTGGTTGTGAATCCTAATGATGTTTCTCATATCTTTCTGGTTGATGTCACCATTGTTCCAGCACCATCTGTTGAAAGTTTGAGTCATGAAGCAATAAAGTTGATGATACTATATGTTTCTGAATCATTATTGGACATATACAGAGCTTCGTTGCTCTGTCTTTTATATTCACCATTAGAACTCACCCCTTCCTCAGCATGGCATTCCAGAACATCTGCTCTGATGGATAAACCCACTTCTGCTCAGATCCACCACGAGGGATGTTAGATTCCTCTCTTACAACAGAAAGGGGAAATGGTTGACCAGATGAAGGTTGCTGGTTAGGTGGTGGCATCTATAGAGAACAGTAAATAAATGAGGCTAAATGGTAGAAAAGGGAAACTCACTACATCTAGGCTTCTAGGTATTAGGTAACCAATTTCAAGAGGGCAAATTACCATGTTTGCTGGATTGATGTCAGACATTGTGGGTTTAGCCCCATTGGCAGCTCTCATAGGACACTCTACAAATTCATAAGCCCTGTCCTGATGTGCTGGTACATCTGGCACAGTCTTTAGCTTATCGCTTGCAGATGCCTGATGCATTGGACATTCTGGTGGAGGGGCACCTGTTGGAAATATTAAGGACAAAAACTAAGGAGAACATCCACATATTTTTGACGTTTATGTATATGAGGGCTCCAACAAGTAATCGCTAAAAAGAACCTTCAACCCTGCTCCTGGAGGGCCACTGTCCTGCAGAATTTAGCTCCAACCCTAATCAAACACACCTGAAGCAGCTCATCAAGGTCTTCAGGATTACTAGAAACTCATAGCCAGGTGTATTAAAGAAGGTTGGAAATAAACTTTACAGGACAAGTGGGTAGAAGATCTCTGCATAAAATTGATGATAATTAATCATGAAAATAATCGAGAATGAATTTGATTATCAATCAACAGAAAACATCTGCCAATCATGTCACTTTACAGCAGCAAATAACATATTTCTATGAACAATGCACACTCATACGTTAAGATTTTTAAACTAGCTTTAACTTCTACTTTAAAAATGGTAAATAATCAGTTTTTTGTGTTTTAGAAGGCAGTGTTTATATTTAATCCTTTGTGCACACAATTTATAGCAAACCTACAGATACATTCACTATATTTGTTTTTTTTATTGCCTTCAAACTGCACATTGTTTGGTGGACAACATTGGTCAGGATATAGAATAACATTTAGTAAATAACAGATTAAAATTTTAATGTTGATTAAAATTATTATTAATTTGATTAATTTAATTGTTCATTTTTAATGTATTATTTTTATTTATTTAATCTGGTTAATCAAATAAATAACATTATCAAAAATAATCTTTAGTTGCAGCCCTATTGTCTATGTTAAAAAAAAAAACAACCTGTACTGAAGTACTAGGTGTCTTACTTTTATTAACATCTCTATGCGTCGGACAGGCCTGTGGTGGTGCGCTGCCAAAGTCTGGCACCATGATGCCCTCTGCCTTCACTGTAGGACTGGACATAGTGTCTCCCATCAGCTTCCCAGACAAAAAGATTAAACAACAGTCAGTTTTGAGTAACCTTACATTTTACATTGTTGCTGTCATATATAAACATGCATGCAAGTATGTATAAAATCTTATAATGGACTCAAAATGCTTTAAGTCTATGAAATGAGCATGTTCTAGCATTAGTAAATGCAGGTTTTTGTGAGTCTGCATGACTTTAAGTGGCATCACTTGTTCTCATTTTTGTCTTGAAGTTGCAAACTGTACACCTGATTGACTGCTATGTTACTGTGAATATACACTGAAGATCTGACAGCGACATTCCTTTCTACCCCAGCACCATGGACTTCAAGATCAAACGTTATTGATATCTGAAGCATTCACTACAAAATTATGCTTTTGGGGAATTGTGCAACAAATGTTACACGAGACACTTATAGAACACACAAGCATAAGATAAAATAATGTTCCTGTCTGTCCAAATAGCGTTTTTAACTGCTTAGATCGTTCATATTGCCCTGTGTTAAAATTACATGCGAAAGATATTGCTGATGAAAGATTAACTGCTATACAGCAGTAGAGCACACTTACCACCCACCTCTACTGTCAATGTCGTTCACTAGAAACATGCCTCATATCCCACAATGCTCTGTGTGATTGCATCACGCCGTGTGTGTGGCACGTCCGGATAACAACATGCACACTGCCCCCTAGAGTATTGGAGAGTTTAGATTTGTATTTTAATTTATTTAAATATGACATTTTCTAGTGTAATTTAGTTGAAGGTACAACGTGAATCGATCATTTAATTTAATTATTATTCACTAAATATTTTGAATTTTCCGGTGACACTATAGTGACTCCGCACAAAAAAAAAGAAAAAAAGATTTGTTCAGTGTACTTTAGTGATGTATTATTTATAATTTATTCAAACTCAAAAGTGACTGACTTTTCAAGTGTGATTGAATCATTATGCAGAAAAGCAGCCACACGTTTTGAAAGATAGAGTGAACGAAAATATTAGTCAATTCAGAGAACAGTGTTGCCAACTCAATTCACCTGATGTGTGTACTGCTAGCATCTGTGGTTTCCTCTTTTTGTGAAATTTGGATGGAAAATGTGTGCCTTTTTATTGTCTGAGTCACTTATCAAAAGTTGCTAAAAGTTAAAAATTGCTAAACATGTTGCTATAGGTGCTTTTGGAAGAAAAAGTTGCTAAATTTAGCAACAAAATTGCTAAGTTGGCAACAGTGTCAGAGAAACAGACACGACTCACTTCAAAGATTTGTTCAAGAACACAGATTCGTTTGTTCACAAACGAAACACTAGTGAGTAAAATTGCTTGCGTGAAGTGAATTGTTCCTGTAAGTAAACATTTAAATAAGAGAATTGGCTTTGTTCTCGTACAACCTCATGCATTATAACATATTAAAACTAAGTTGTTTATTCAGATTAACACATTATTGTCACACCACAGAAACACGCATCTCCGGTCACTTACATGAGCATTTTTGACATCACAGAAATTCATTCCAGTTGGAATAGCTCATACACCTTTTTCAAGAAGCATATCATTGTTGATTTTAACCACATACATAACTATTAAGTAAATAATGATAAATAACCTGAAAAGCCTTACCTTATTGAAGCTTATATAGGCTAATAGTGTCATTATTCCAAATCCAACCAACCACATATTACAAGCAACAAGCTTATACACGGCTACATCAAGTTCAGAAACACATATTATATAACATTATTGTGTCACCTGATACATTTTCCATTCCAGACATATATAATACTCTCCATACATAGTGTTCTCCATATATGTAATAATTACATGTAGACATGCATGGTTTCTTGAGTATGACATCCTGCACTGCTGAGCTGCAAAGGCAGGATCTTTCACCCATACATTTAACATTTCCACTACATTTATAATGGCCATTTCCTCTATTTGCATAACCCTATCCATATTGTCAAAAAGTCAAAACGTTGGTCTACAGGCACACACTGTGTAGCTTTGTGGAAGTTCAGATGTGCTGTTGCTTGTTTATTTGCATTCATAAAGGCAAGGTGGTTGATCATAATAGCAGCTTTATAATACATAGTGCAACCACAACTGTTGTCCTGATTGTACATGTGATCAGTCTCATGCCTCTTAATCACCCGATTTCTTAAAACGTAAAGGAGCGCCTGTGATTGAATTCCTCCAGTTGAGCCCATATTTGAAGATGACATCATGTCAGTCATTATTAATGCAATAAATGGTTTCTCACAACTATGATGCCCCAGCATTACAGCAGCAGGAATAACAAAACATATACATGGCATTTGCACTCCAGCATCAGGTTGGACATGAAAGAGATGGAAGGTTTGTGTGCTGATGTGTTCATTTTCTGTCTGTATCTCCATGTCAGTCTGTCTTTCTAGTTTCCATTTCAGTTCCTGTTTTTCTCGACCAGGCCGAGCGAAGGACTTTGAGACATCCGCGGATGATTCTGCGCATCCACATGATGTTCATAACATCCAAAGACACGCTGGAAATAACCCAGGCACTGCGGCCCCCCAGAGGTAACCGGTAGAAGTGATCCGTACCAAAGACAGAGTACATATGGCTGTAGTAGCCTGGAATGACTGCGATCCTCACCAAGAAGAATGTAAATGCCATGGCGACACCATTAACCAGACTCGGTTTGGAAAGTTTGTGGTAGCCCAACATGTAAAAAAACCAACTGAAAGACATCAAAAATAATGCAATTAGAAAATGAGCTCATGTAACGGTTGCATTGAATGCTTCTAGATGGATTTTTAGGTAATACTTACCGCTGGTTCACGAAGGGGGTGGAGAATTCTGAAAGCAGGCGGAAATTAGCAAAGTAAGGCAATATCCCTTGACTCTGCAGAAGAACAAAAAAGAGCACACAATAACCTTGGAGATCTTGAGGAAGTAATTGTACACCAGACCAGCTGAAAACAACTTACCAGCACATAGTAGTATGCATAGAGAGCAGCAAAGATAAAACCATGTACTGCAAACGATAAATGTTTATAATATTCACATTGAAATGTCATTAATTTGTTTTTTAGATTTTGCTGAAAAAATAAAAATAAATGATTACTCTGAAACATAAATTAAAATATTAAAATACATTTTAATTCAGAAATGACAAAAATGCCCATCATACAAGAAATGTATTCAAATCATGTATATGAACTTTTGCATCAATTAATAGATATAGCATCACATCATTAGCCCTCCACCCACCTGAGATTAGGTAGCCTGATGTAACAGCCACATTTAGCTTCACCAGTGTGGCATCTCCCCTGTAAACACAAATTAGAGGTTAGATAAGAAAAAATATGTTTTTGTGAGTCCACCAAAAACATCAAGTTCAGTATGTACTTTCTAGAGAGAAACTACACTATGTTGCATAACAATTTGCGCCGCCACATTTGTAAAGGATTGCATCTTCAAATCCTCACCAGACTGGGTCTTTCTGGATAGGTTCATCAAAGATATATATGTAGAGACAGAAAAGTCCCACAACCAAGGCATGTACTGTTGAGACGGCCCTTTGAGAAAAAAAAAACACAACAGTGAGAGTTTATAGATCTTCCAACTTTAGTTAAGAGTGCATAATAAAACACATGCTTTTAGAAGATAAATCTGACACCTGGAGTTCCACTCTGTCCTTTGTGTAGGGCTGAGCCTCAGGAAGCCTTTGCAGAGCTTCTCAGACACCCAAGGGCTACCTCTGTGGAACAGCCACTGGAAGCCCAAGAAGCTCCCTGTTACAACCATCAGCACCTGCAGGCTGAGAGTCTCCATGCCTGCTGAGCCCTAGAGAAAGAAAGAGACGAGAGCGAAATGGCGGCGAACGTTCAGCAATAACTCTCCCATTGACAAACACATAATGATCCCCCCCACTCCACAGCACTCTTTAACAAAATCAAATGTTTCTTACTCCAGACCAGTTGCAAGCATAAAAGCCCCAATCATCACCTGAGTTGCCGCAGTACCTCTCTACTGCCAAGTCCCCCAGTATACAGAAGCATTTGCATATGTGCTGACACAGCCGTCCAGAGGTCAGCCGACACAAACACGTCTCAGATTGCTCCATCCGTGATTTATAGGAGCCACGCGTGGCTTTTGTGCAGTCTGAAATGCATCCGAGTCCCAGAGATCTCGGCGTCCCGTAGGAAACAGCCGATCGTGTGGGTTTGTGCTGCATACACTAACTTCTATGCTGGCTGAGGGGAGCGTGTACATCCCACATAGCTATTTTTTTCTGGCCCAGCACTGATCCACACAAACCCTTTTCCCTCAGACAAAATATTTCTCTCCAATAGACTCCCATGAAGTAAACATGAGAAGGAGATCTGAAAGAGAAACATTTTCTTTGTGTATCCATCAAGCTAAAAGCGAATTCTCATTTCACCTTAAATACATTAATGTACACATCTTAATCAATATTTGCAATCAATAAACAAAAATTACTAATTAAAGAAGCAGTGAAACCATTTTCTGAAAATATTTCTATGAAATAATAAAATCACAACAAAACATTAAATATTATTTCCTTTTTCACTTTTTAATGCAGCTTTTTTTTTTCTTTATTATGGTATCAGGACAATTGTATTTACTTTATACCCCCAAAACACAAACCCTTTTCCCTCAGCCCACATACCGCAAAGAATGACGGCCCTGGAGTGGCCCAGATCTGGATTAAAGACAAGGCTCACACATGGGCCATAACTGGCCAGAGTCTCAGCCAATTAATAGCCCATAAGTGGCCCTGCACTGGGCCTGAATAGGTTTTAACATTGGTACCGATTCTCAGCCTTAAGTAAACCAGAAGTTCCAAAACTGAGCCACACCTGAGCCTTATATAGCCCAGACCCAATACAGAATATTAATATTTGGTATTATTGCATTGTGTATTTATTTTACAGTAATTGCCATTATTTGTGAAATGTTTTGGTAATGTAAACACAAATATACCAATAAAGTACATTTAACAATAGAAAATCATCCTTAAAATCCACAAATTATGTAACTGTACAATAAAAAATGTATTGCATTAAAAAGGTTTTGTTTTTTATAAAGAACAAATCAACCAAATCTATCTTATACGAACGTATGTATTATTACGCAACATGTAACATTACTAGTACAAAAACTTGTATATTTGGAGAGATGATGAAATTTACAATATTTATAAAGTACACTAAACATTTATACAGTATACAGTCTATAAGAGAAACGTACCAGACAGACAAGTGTAAAGTTAATCATAATAATTTATTTATTGCAGAAACGCCAAAAAGCAGTACCACAGTAGTCCAAATGACGATACGTTGCAGTCCTCTCAGGAGGAATATAATAGTTTAGTGTGAGGAGCAGAGCATAATTTAAGTTGTTAAACGCTGAAAATACTATCCCGATGCACTCTGTGAAGGCATGCATTTCTCATTCAAACACACATCACCCAAAACCCGGCATGTCGCAATCTGTGACGAAACCTGCGAGAGCCAATGAGCGTTTGATATCACTGCCATAAAACATGTTGTAAAACTTATTGAAACAGCAAATTTTTACATTGTTACTATAGCTACAGAAACAGGAGATAGATAGATAGATAGATAGATAGATAGATAGATAGATAGAGCTGAATTTGAATTTGGATCTGTTCCTCACACAAAGCATCACATGGATACCGAAGATTTGGATAAAATTCAAATACTTTTAATGATAATTTTATTGAATGCTTGTGCATGACAGCATATTAATAAAATCATGTGCCCCATGGTAAACAAGATAAATAAAATATTGCATGATAATGGTTAAATTATCTCTCTGTCTCTCTCTCTCTGTAAGGATTCTAAGAATATTTGTACTGAGAATAATAATAATTTATAGTTAAGTGCCGTTTAATGCAGTTTCCTGATTTACTAGTTTGCTTAATTTTGAAATGAAAACTTTTTATTCTTGACTTGCCATTTCAAAGATTAAATTTAAACAATACTACACTTATTGACTTGCCATTTCAAAGATTAAATTTAAACAATCCTACACTTCATTGAAATTTCTGTGATCATTTAACCTTTATCATGCAATAATTTATTTATCTTGTTGACCATCGGTCACATAATATGCTGTCAGGTCACAAACCTGATTTGGGCCACATGATCACTGGATTGATCTGGGCCACACTCCTCCCACCAACAGTCGGCCCTCATATTGTTTGCCGTGATCCACACTGTGTCATCATTGCCACACATGGCCCAGCTCTGGCTGAAAGGGTACATGCCATTGCCGACAGGAGGCCAGCAGTGCCAGCTTGAGGCCACATTCGGGCCAAGACCGTTTGCTATGTGGGATGTTACTCCGGCTATACATTTCTGCAGTATGGACACCGATCTAAATGAAACAGCAGGAAATCAATGCGTGTGATCAATGTGGCATTGTTATGGTCCATTGGGACACGACCACTCCCCTGCTTTGTCCTCATACCCTTGAAAAAGGCATCAAGCTTCAGTGCTTTCAGTAACTGATAGTAGGAGGAAGGAAGTCAAGCCGGCGTGACCTTGTCAGATTTGAATTCTACTGTTTCTCTTAAATGTACAGTTACATTAGAACATGCTTTTATCTGAAGTGACTCACAAAAGAGGAACAAAACCAATTTGTCAAGGAGCCGACAATGCTTGTAATACATTAACAGGTGTATTTGACAACTAGATTTAGAGGCAAACTAGAAAAGAGGAGAAATGCAATGTAAGTGTGTATGTACACTTTATATTGCACAGTAGGAGTAAAAGAGCCAAATAATCAGGTAGCCAAGCAGTAGGACATGCTATCTTTATCATTTTCTTTGTGAGATTCATTGATTCAAGCAAATTCATTTTCTCTTGCAACAGCTCAATCTGTCCTGCTTCTCAGTGACTATGAAATGACTGCATGCATTCTTAAAAAAATAATGAAGTCAACATATAATGCATGATCAGACTTACCCTTTCCATTACGAAAGACCCGTGTTGAACTAGCCATGGAGAGTGTGCATGAACACAGCTGGACACGAGGATAAATGCAGGGTTTAAGAGATCTGTGAATCTCAGGTGTTCATCTAGGGGAGGATGGCGGAGAGATTGCGAATGCAAATCCAACAGCCTTCTCCCTCTCCACTCTCCACATTAACTCAGTAAGTGCCTTCCCTTGTATGCAGCTGCCCAGTGTAATTTTATATTTCTGAATCCTAAATGAACTTCATGGCATAGAGGAACCACTAGATGGAGTGAGACATCCAACTGGCTAATTTTTTTCTCTTCATGGTAGCAAAAGAGCTTGTGTTAGACCAGGAGAGGGTGGTTGATGTCCGAACAAGGACACTATTAGTAAATTAATGTCGCATATTTAGCAAGGGCAGCCCTGTTGTCCTCAATTTCTTGAATCCTCAGCCTGACCTTCAGCTTAAACCAGATATATTACCAAACAAAATAAACCCGAACCTTATTTAAAATAACTCCCAACAGTAACACTGCAGGGTTTCTTGTATTTAGAGGCATAATGAAGCAAGTTTAGGGCAGAGCGGTTAGTCTTGCCCTGCAGCTTCAGGTAATAACATCCCATCCCCATCTAAAGCACAGTTGTTGTTCTGTCTGTCTGCATGTTGTGCCTCAGGGATGGAACAACGAGGCATTCCTGTTTGATGAACCGTTCGGCCCAGAAGAGTTCTGCTCATGGAAAATAAAATGGATGTTCTTGTACCTAAATGTGTATTGCAATAGAATATATTCTTCTCACTTTATCAGCTCTGGGTTATAATAGGACAATGGAAAGTAATAGCAAACCCAGTGCTTGCTGCAGAGGCTAAGTGAAATTAACTCTCCAGACACTTTTACTGGAGACACAGGAACATGGGGAATTTCTGTTGCTGACAAAACGTCCCTTTTCACATCTCATTGAGTGAAATATGAATGGTTTTCGTGTAACCTGTTGATTTACTGGAAGACTGCAAACATGTCCTGATAAGATACTATAATGAGTTTAAACATATTAATCCATTTATAACCATTGAGTATGTATGCCAAATGCTCTTCTGTTACTATGAAATCCCTTTTCGACCACATAAGAAAATCATAATTATAATTATGACATAAAAGGCTGAAATTATGAGATAAAAAGGCTTATGAAAAAAGCTAAATTTTGACAGAAAATGTGACAGTCGAATTTATGAGTCATAACTATGACAAAGTCGAAATTATGAGATAAGTCATACTTTAATGATATTAAAAAAAAAAAAATTATAAGCTTGAATTTCTAACATAGTCATAATTATGAAGACTGAAATAAGTCATTATTGCATAAAAAGCTACTTTAGACTTTCTATCTCATAATTATGATTTACCAAAGCATGTTTGTTTTTTTTCTTATGTGGTGGAAATTGGCTTACATTACTGATATAAATGTGATACTAACCCATATGCAAATATTAATAGAATTACTCGGGGTTAACCACAGTACTGTTATGAAGTGGAAATAGGTCTTGTGCTTTTCCTGTCTTAAACCAAACGTCTGGGAACAATCACTTACAATGGCAAACACACCTTGTTTTCCAACAGTTTCTTTGTTTGATCACTATAGTGATGGGCTAAACAGGAGCCCACCATATCATTAGAATGCATGTTTTGACTTGTCTTTTATTAATTGCAAGTCTTGAAGTATGATGGTACTTTCCATTTTCATTATAAATCAGGGTGGCTGAAAACAGTTGTGTATGTCTGCACTGATCTTTCGTCTTCAGAAGTGAAAGACATTTCAGATGATGATAACAGTAATTAAGGTATAACATGATGTGGCATTGAATGCTGAACCCAAAAATTACCAAGGAGGAATTCAAAAGGAATTCAAAAGAAATGTGCTTAATATCTTGGATGAATTCTTTCTGGCATTGGGTCTTTATTGTTGTTTCCTGTTAATGGACAGCAGTGTCTCGGGACACAGAGGCTCAGGAAACACATGGTGAGGAGGCTGAAAAAGTAATAAAATCAAGGCCTCGACCTCCAGATATTTATTCAGCATGTGTTAAATATCCTAAATAAACAAATGGTGATAATACATTCACGATGAATGATATTTTATTGTTTTGACCACTGGTACTAATAAAAGTACCATCATGAACAGGGCTTTAAACGAACATATTATTTTTAAGGGTTTCTCTATTTGTTTTATTTAAATTATTATTTCCGTTACATATCATTAATTTGTATTTTATAATTCTGTTTTAATATATTTTGAAGGAATTAATAATTCGGTCATTCTTGAGAAGTGGGACAAAACAGGGTGCAAAATTGAAAAAATAAAACCTTGTACTCAGACAAATGAAACTACATTTATGTATCTTATATGTACTACGCTACTGAGATATGCTTTGATACAACCTCCCAACTTTTCTATTTTTTAACAAAATGTGCTTTTTTTTAGCTTGGACTGTGTAATATAATTTCAGCTTTATTTTTAACAGCATTCAAGATGTTTTTAACATTTCAAAACACATTCTCGTGTTAGCAGACAGATTACGCTTTCACATGTGACCAATAATTCCACAACACATATAAAATATCATAATGAAATATTATCAAAATATTCAACTGACGGAGGTGACAGAACTGACGGAGTTGACACATCTGACGGAGGTGACGAACACCTGAATTTGTAGTCATTTTAACTATCAAATACATTGAATCAGTCAATTACTGTATTAAAACAAACAACAAACAGTGAGTATGTTATTGTTTATAAAGCTTTTATTCAAGAGTCACATTTAAGTATTTTGATATATCATTGGAACACAATGTCTGACACTGATGTACTCTGCAGAGGTGAACTGTGGCAAGGGGGTCCTTTAGAGTGACAGCTGCCCCTAATATTCCCTGATTTTATTACATTTTATTGAATGTCTGACGGTGTTGACAAAAAGTGGGGACACAACTTTAAAATCGTATTAAACATGCATGTGTCATTAAAAAACAGCCTTGCTTTGATGGGAGATATTATTAAGTGTTGCTTTTGACAAAACAACCTCTTTTTCATCATTAAAAAAAACATTTTTATTCATTTTATTGCATATGAATGATTGAACCCTTCTCTGTGGACACACTGTTTTAGATGTAGTGAGAGGACATTAAGAAACATAGATTTGGTATAATAATGAGAAAATTAAATTGAAGGTGATAATTGTGTTAAATACATTCTATAATTAAATGACATTTAAATTAGAAAATATTTTTATTTTTAAACCTAATAGCAGTTACCCTTGCTGGACCTGTTTTGTCCCATGTCTCAAGAATGACTGAATTACAAGAATTCGTACTACGGTGAGGGCGAGGTTATGAACATTAATAAAGTCAGCTGACGTTGCTTTGTCGCTAACATCTGCCTTTTAGCCAATCAGGAAGGTACACTATGTTGCGTCACGCAACCTAATTAATATTCACAACTTAAGTCTTCGCCGTAGTAGAACTCGTAAATTCGCTCAACCTCAGACCTTCTGCTGCTCTTTCTTTAATTACTTTGCTGAACAGAAAGAGTTCAGTGCATCCGCTCAGCTGGGGCAAACGGCTGTCATATTTGACTAGCCTAAACTCACGTATCTGAGCAAAGCATCTTTTCTCGAACAAGAGGAGCCAAATTAGAAACCGGGGGATTTCTGAATATTTCTTTGGTGCGAATCGACGTGAAATAAAAGACAATGACTCAGTTCAACAAGGGCCCTGCATATGGTTTATCTGCTGAAGTGAGAAGTAAGGTAAGGTTTGAATGATTTTACAGTTTGTGTACTTAAACGACGAAGTGGCGTTTAATGTTTCTTGTATTGCACTGAAATGCTTGAATTCAAATGCACGAAAGTGTAACTGTTAACTGTTTCACTTTAGAATGAGCTGCCTAGCATTTCAGACATCACAGGCAGGTTCAGAAACAAAAACGTCGCATATAATTTAGTACTAAACGTACTTCTGATGGCCAAATGCACTCTGTAGGTTTTCAGAGAAAGCCATTGTTTCCTTTTCAACTGATTCCTGTGATTTGATACTTCTGAGATTTTGGTTTTAGGGTCGATGTATCCTTTTTGTTTTACTACTCATTTATTGCTTATAAAAGACGAAGGCTAATATTTTTGCACGTAGAAAGTAGGAAATGATAATCCGTATTTCATGTTGCACTAACCGATTTATCAATAAATGAAACTTTCTTTTTTTATGGGCGCGACGCGTTTCGCTTTTCACGCCATGTTGAGATGCTGTTTGTCATTTTTAAGGCACAAAACCTTACATTTTATCACTGCAAATGAAGTTTACCGTGTGTTATTCTGGCTGATAAAGCTTGCCTGGTGGGTCATGGGGTCTTTTGTTGAGTTCTGGGTGGAGCTTCAGTTTGAGAGAAAGCAGCGAGGCTGCCTCTCTCGGTAGTCGGTACAGAGAAACGCAAAAAACAGCAGTAAAACCAATTAAACAATGACATTATCAGCCTAAATAAGCTACAGTGTGTGTGTATAATAAAGGTTTAGTGAGGTTAGCGATGTAATTTGTTCTGCTTTGTGTGGAGATGTGTTATGGAAACTTTAGCCGAGGTGATGCGCGTGCAGCATCTGTGATTTTAAAGGATGATATTTAAACTAGTATGGCTGTATAACTGAATTTTACCTACTTTTTTTTTTTTAGTTAAAACCTCTGTAGTACCTATTTGACAAAAAAAATGGTTCGTTGTCAAATGGACCTTTAATGTTGTAGCCTACACACACACTCACACACAAACGGGGGTTTTCTCAGGAAAACAGGGTTAAAACATCACACTGAGGCTTTTCTTCTGAATGCAATGCGCCCCATCTGCAGTGACTGATGTTTTCTTTATTATTTTTTTTATTATTATTTCTTCATGTTTAGATTCCATTCTGTGCATTATTGTCACAAACGTAGCAGAACTTATTACATCAAAAGTCTGTAAAACTGTGTAGGTCCCAAACATAGCCTATAGTTCTAGAAAGTATAGTATTTTATTTATTTTATTTAATGCCATATGTTTTTCCCCCATGCAAAGTGACCTATAGGCTACTAATGACAGTCCATCTGGTGCATCGGAGATGAATGGTCTTGCTCAAGGACATCAATTTTACATTCTCACAGCTAGGCTTGAACCTGCAGCCGTTTTATTAGCCAAGATCTTTAACCATTAGGCTACAAGCTTCCTCATTGTTTTAATTGCTTATCACATTGAAAAGCACACAGAAAACGCATCCCTCTAGTGTCTGCGGTTGGTCATTTTAAGTCTATTCAGCAGTATTTCCATCACACCATGTATCTCATTATGAATGTGCGTTTAGTCAGAATGAGTGGGAGGGTGAATAAACAATGTAAACTGCAGTGGGGTGATGCTTCCTTGAATCCTGTGCCATCTGCAGAGGTGCAAGGACATTTGACCCCAGCTGACTTTCATTAGCACTTCAATTGCACCATGCAAATATCTGAAGAGAGCTTACTGTAGGACACTTCATTACTGACATTATATTTTCTGTGTGTTTGAAGGTAGTTTACTTAAACTCATATTTAATATTTAACAGTTACTTGATTTGGCTGTCTTGGCAGGAATGTCTCTGATTTTGTACCACTTTTCATTAAATGTTTCATTGTCAACTTTTGAAATCACAATTTACTGATTTGCAGTCATGTTTTAATTTAAATACGTAGAATATATTGTACAGTACATAAAATATATAAAGTATCTTAGAGTGACACATTGTTTTGAGATGGAATTATTTTATAATGTGAGGAAAAAGAGAGACCGTGGAGTGATACAAGAGACATGAAATTACCACAAATGCATGCGGTTCAAAAATTTGGGGTCTCTTAAGATTTTTTTTTTTTTATTATTATTTATTACTTTGTTTTTGAAAAAAAGTATCTTCCATCAATCCAGCATTTATTTGATCAAAAATACAGTAAAACAACAATATTGTGAAATACTATTGTGGTGTAAAATAGCGTTTTTATGTTTTAAAATATTTAAAATGTGATTTATTTCTGTGATGCAAAGCTGAATTTTCAGCATCATTACTCCAGTCTTTAGTGTCACATATAGGCTAATTCGTTATAAATCATTCTAATATGCTGATTTGCTGCTCAAGAAACACTTCTTATTCTTATCAATGTTGAAAACAGTTGTGCTGCTTAATATTTTTGTGGAAACCAAGATTCATATTTTTCAGGATTCTTTGAATAGTCATTTATTTGAAATAGAAATCTTACACCGAACATTATTTTTACTGTAACTTTTGATCAATTTAATGCATCCTTGCTGATTAAAGCCAATACTTTACCAAAATGGTTTGAACTGTAGTGTAAATTCACATATAAATGCAGAGTAGACTGTTCTCCTTGCTTTCCATTGTTTCAGTGTGTAGTGGACTAGTGGGCAAGTTGTTATGCAAACATATCTTGTAGTCTGTATATACATCCGAGACCTCGCTGCCACATTATTTGGTCTGCTGGACATTTCCAGAGCAACAGGGTGATTTAATTGATCAGCAGAAACAGCTGTGCTGTTCACCAAGGCCTCTCACAGCATTAGCTCTTTTTTCGAGCTCTTTCCTCCAGCAAATGTGTAACTGGATTGTAGACAGGACTAGAGCCCGACCGATATGGGTTTTTCGGGGCTGATACCGATATTAGGGAGTAAAAAAAGGCCGATATCGATATATATATCGGCCGATATTCTGTGTATATTATAGTACAGTACCAGTCAAAAGTTTGGACACTCCCATTCGAGGGTCCAAACATTTGACTGGTACTATATATAGAATACAGTATATACATAAACAGAATATATATACATAAACACATTTTTTGCAATGTTCACTCAAATGTGGTGATTAAACACTTATAATGACGTGACAAAGATACGTAATGGAGGCAGGGCATTTAACAATATAACAAACTTTATTATCCAAAATGAGTCTGACATCAGTGCACTGAACAGTAAAGCTGAAGTTTATTCAACTTCAATTCAATTAAATTCCATTCAACTTTATTCCTTTGAAGTTTATTTCACTTCGGAACATTCATTCACGGATTTGCGCTACTGTCTTCACATAATATACCTCTGTAAATAAATACAATTTAAATTCATGTCTCGCGCACTTTAATGCCCTTTGATTGTAACGTGTACGTTCCCTTGGAGCTGGAATCATGGTGGAATTTCATGTGAAGCCCACTTCGCAGGGCACTTGCGGTCAAATAAGACCACGCGTCGGTGCCGGACCGCGAATTTAACCACCCGTAACTCCCGAACCCGGGGGGCTATCGACGCGGGGGGGGTCTCATTCGAAAGCAGGCCTCCAGACGTACACTCAATTCGCCGTGCCATTACGGAGATATGGCCGTTCAAAGTTTCAATGGTTTTCCATAGACTTAAACTTTAAAGCGTTTCATCCAGGTCGCCAGTAGCAAACAATGGAGCGCGCTCTGCTGGACAAACTAAGTAATTACACCATTTCAAGCATTTTATCTGCGTTCTATGTTCTGTAAAAAAAAATTCATATCGGCGGCATATTCACCCGATACCGATATATCGGCGACAGGCTCATATCGGCCGATAATATCGGCAAAACGATATATTGGTCGGGCTCTAGACAGGACCCTTTCCCTCTATATAGCTCTGGCTGAATTCCTTATGTACTTCCTGCAAGTGTTTCTTTTTTTTATTATTATGTACTGTTTTTGCCCTCCGCATGATTTTGTCCATGAGGCCAGCAGAACTCCCAACACGTTGTTCTCACATGGCCAAATACAGATGTTCTCCCTGTTTTCTCGGTCTTTAGGAAGTTCACTCTCTGCTCTGGGCCGATGTGCTCTATCTGAATGTCAGAGAATGTACCAATGCACTCCTACATGTTTTTTTCCTTCCTTTTCCTTAAATGCTCTAGTACACATTCAGGAACACAAGCTCTATTGTGCAGAAAATTGCAAGTGGACAGTTGGATGTGAAGACGCCACCGATATCCTAGTTGCAGAGCACCCAGAGATGATAAAGGACTCTGAGAGGGATTCATGGGAGATCTTGTTGCGCTCATCAACCTAAGCTGCTGCATGTGGTTTTTGAACCTTCTTTTGGGCCTCCACACTTTTTGTTGGCCTTTTATATTATTGGGACTTTTTCAAGTTAGAAAAAAGATCTTGTTTTATTCCAGCAAATACTCTCTGGTGAATACTGTATACTGTTGCTTTAAAGTAATTTCTCTCTTCCATTGTAATGGTTCTGGTGCTTAAATCCTCTGAAAGCTCTTTGAGTATTATGAGAAGTTGAGAAGATACTTAAACTCGGGGTGCACCTGAATTAAACATGGCCAATGCCAATAAATATTTTTGTTATGTCCATTATAACAGTTCCACAACAATTAAATGAAAAATAAAAATACTATAATCTATCTGGTTTTAAATGCACCAAGTAAATTTAGGCATCACAACATTATAAAGTACAGTATGAAAGATGAATGTTAATTTTGAGGTTTTCTGTAGATTACATTTAAGTAAGTTAGAGTTAGATGATACAAAAGTAATCTACATGTGAAATTAGGGAAATTGAGCTTAAATAATTATCCAATATTGACTAATATAATGAACTTAAACATTAGTAACAGCAGTAATATGCAAGTGCTATATTAGTATATTATTATAGGGTTATATTTCAATTTGACGAAATGTGCAGCATTTTGTCCAAGCAATAATAAAAGGACATATTTAATTTATAATTTGTCTTAAATCTCATTTTGTTAAAAAATAAATCGTGAATCGAATCGTGAGTTGAGTGAATCGTTACAACGTCTGATAACCAATATGGTACCTATATATTGGGCATCTCTCATTATTAAATGCAAAAGTAATTTGATTTGCCATATTTACACTGTCATAAATAGCTTTTGATGCAAGGATAACAAGTTATTACAAATACAATTTATTAGCAAATAATTTATGCACAGATATTTGGAAATTAAATTTTAGATTGATTGGAAACTGTTTGGGTCGCTGTGAAAAGCAACATATAAAGGCACAGGATGTCCGTCAGCTCTCAAGGGTAGTTTTGTTGTAAAGTGAGATGGGAGGAAACATACAGGTTGACTGTTTTCAGCTTTGTCCTGCTCTGGTGAGGTTTGTTTTCAGTGTATGCTGTGGGTTGTGTTATGCTGTGGTGTTGAAGGATGTCCACATTGTTAACTGTGACACCTGAGGCATTGTGTGATAAGTGATGACTATCTCTCTTTTTTTTCTGTGTTCAAGGAGACTTTACAATAGCACGTTAATAATGGGGTATATGGTCTCAATTCAAGTTCTGCTTGTCATCCATCTGTTGTTCATTTATATCTACCAGGAGACCTTTAAAGAATGATGGCTGTACTCACAGTGACACGTGGAAGGCCCTCTGATTTAGGGCTGTCAAAATTTTTTTCGAATTTCGAATATTCGTCGAATTTAAAATAAATATCCACATTCGAATGCAAAAACGTTGCATGTTGTTTACGTCAAAACTGAAACCAAGCCGTTCACACAGAATGCATATTTCGTGCATTTTCTAGAGGGACATCTATTACCGTTGCACTCGCATCTCGCACAAAAGAGCCGCATGTTTAGAAAGCCATGTAAAATTAATGCAAGTTCAACTTTGAAAAAACATATCTCGAGACTTTATGGTGGGGGTTTTTCCCCATCCCACTGCAACTCATGTTTTTAAATGAAAAATGTACTCTGTGTGATTGGCTTTCGGCCCTTTGTATTAAACTATGCATGCATACATGATGCTGTTTTGTTTATAGTTGTTTAAGCAACTTAATTATAATTGGTTTATAAACAATATTTTGAACATTATGCACTTTTTTTCACAGATAGTCATGTTAACTTATGCTTTAAATGTGCATTAGTAATATTTCTCGATGCGCCCTCTTGTGGCCTCAGGAGAGAATTCAAAAGCTTTTCTTCGCCCTACCTGAAATTATGCATTTTAAATTCGAATATAATTCGACTTTTGATAATATTTAAGTACAAAATTCGAATTTAGTTTTTCTGCCATTTTGACAGCCCTACTCTGATTTGCTGTTGTTTCTGTCACAGACCCATTTCATGTTGTCCTAATGTTTACAGACAGCTGAAGTAAATGATCACAACAGGATGTAGAGCACAACACATGTGTACCCAAAGTGAAAATCCCTTTCGTTTTCTTTTTAGGTAGAATGATTTCGAAGAAGAATGTATAAATGTTTATTTGAAGCTCCTGTGATTATATGTGTCGATGTGATTTTCAGATTAAAATTTTAAAATGTAAAAAGTTTAATTGCCGAAATCCCATTAAAGTACTACTAGTAATCCACCAATTAGGGAAATCGCTGTTGCCATAGAAATGAAGGCAAAAGAGCTTGGCTGCAACCAAATAATTAATTTATTATTTTTTAAAATCCGTGAAGTTATTATTGTTCTGCAGTAACATCTTTTTGCACTTTTAAGTGTTCTTTTTACCTTAAATCAAAGTTTGTAGTGTTATAGTTGATTGGTTTGGTTCATGGCTTTGGACAGTTTATTAAAGAATTGAATAAAATGCCTGTGGAGAAAATGAATGGAAAAACATGCCTCTTAAATCAAGGGGCGGCCACTGTTATGCTCTATTTGTCCACTTATAATGAAGAATTTCTAAAAGGGCCAGTCAAAGCTTTGTGCCTTTTGAAAGTGTTTTTATGAATGTTAAGGTCTGTAAAAAAATTGTTATACAAAGGAAACTTCCCAATTGTCATACATTTCTTAAAGGGGACAGAATTGTCAGTAAAACAGACATGCTCCAACCTGTCACCTCTTTGGATCCTCAGACATTCAGCATGTCATTCAGTTGAAGTTAGGAGCCAATCCTCATTTGTTTGGTTGATGGAATAGGTTTTGCAACTCGTTTACAATTGATTCAAGACCAGACCTGTTGAAGGAAATTAACCTTAAAGTGACAATGAAAGGAAAGACTACCTTTTTATTCAAACAAGATGTACGTTATTTTTATTTATACGTTATTTATACATATTTACCCATCGTTAGAGGTTTTTTTTTTGCAGGCAAGATAAGCTCTTTCAATATCTTTCTGTTTGCTGAATGGCAGTAATGGGGTCTGACAGGTGTCTGGATCTGCTTCTAAAGCCAGAGTTCACAGATGGGGCAATGCTTTGTAATTTCCTGTCCATTTTACTGCACTTGGCTCTAGTCTTGCACAGAATACCTAGAGATGAAGAGGAGATGGTCTCCAAAGCTAACCTTAAAACATGACCGTACCTGCATGCTCAAAAACCCTTTGTTTTGGAAGTTTATGAATTCATGAATTGAAACTCTGCAAAAGTTTCCATGTGAGTTGCATGCACATGTTCTCAGTTCCAGACAGTTATTTAGGTTCACCAGTGAACGCATCTAGTGGTACTTTACTTTTCATTATGTCATGTAAGTGGAAAAAGGTGTGCAATTGAAATTGAAATATGACGTTGTCTCGTACTGTTTCTAAAACCCCCAAATTTACTTTAAGGAAAGAATGGAGACCTGTTGGAATAAATGTGTCTTTGTATGGCAGGCCTTGGATTACATATGGAAATACTGTTTAAGGAAGCAAGAGTTTTCAGTCTCTCTTTCTGGTCCCTGTAGATTGCTCAGAAGTATGACCTGCAGAAGGAGGAGGAGCTGAGGAACTGGATTGAGGATGTAACGGGCATGCCAATCGGAGAAAATTTCCAGATGGGATTGAAGGATGGAGTCATACTGTGCGAGTGAGTCTATGAGCATGATGTGTGTTTCAGCTTGATTAGGAGCTCAAAACATTGGAGCGCAGATGACTGAGTGTTTGTTTGGCTCTAAATAAGGACTTTCAGCCCACCTGTAACCTTTTGTCTTGTTTATTGAAACCTGACAACACGCCAAAATGTGGGGTGATTTTAATATTCAGGCATGAGATGCAAAAAAACAACAAAAAAGAAGTTCTGCCAAGCTTAAACCATGTGTTGCTCATATTATAACAACCTAGTCTGGCGGCCACACCTTCTTTTGTTTGCTGTTGCCCTTAAGAAAACTTTCCACAATATTCCTTTTGAGCCTTTTAATGGGAAGCAATGTTGTGACATGATGTAATCTTGGCATACACCTATCTTTCAAAAGATAACATTTTTTTTTTAAAGTCATTTATGCTTACAAAGGATGCATTTATTTGATCAAAAATACAGTAAAAACAGTTATACTGTTAAAGATACAATTTCAAATAACCTGTTTTCTATTTGAATACATTTTTAAATGTATACATTTATATTTATTACATTTATTTTTGTGGTGGCAAAGCTGAATTTTCAGCAGTCATTATTCCAGTCTTCAGTGTCACATGATTATTCAGAAATGATTCCAATATGCTGATTTGCGGCTCAAGAAACATTCCTTATTGTCAATGATGAAAACGTTAAATACAGTTGAGGTCAAAAGTTTACATCCCCCTTTCAGAATCTGCAAAATGTTAATTATTTTACCAAAATAAGAGGGATCATACAAAATGCATGTCAGTGTTTTAGTACTGACCTGAATAAGATATTTCACATAAAAGATGTTTACATATACACAAGAGAAAATAATAGTTGAATTTATAAAAATGACCCTGTTCAGAAGTTTACATCCACTTGATTCTTAATACTGTGTTGATACCTGAATGATCCACAGCTGTTTTTTGTTTTTGTTTGTTTGTTTATTGATAGTTGTTTGTGAGCCCCTTGTTTGTCCTGAACAATTAAACTGCCTGCTGTTCTTCAGAAAAATCCTTCAGGTCCCACAAATTCTTTGGTTTTCCAGCATTTTTGTGTATTTGAGCCCTTTCCAACAAGACTGTATGATTTTGAGATCCATCGTTTCACACTGAGGACAACTGAGGGACTCATATGCAGCTATTACAGAGGGTTCAAACGCTCACAGATGCTCCAGAAGGAAAAACCATGCATTAAGAGCTGGGGGGTGAAAACTTTTGAACAGAATGGAGATGTGTAAATTTTTCTTATTTTGCCTAAATATCATATTTTTTCATTTAGTACTGCCCTTCAGAGGCTACAGAAGATAGTTACATGTTTCCCAGAAGACAAAATAAGTGAAATTTACCCTGATTACCCTGGCTCTTAAAGTGTTAGTTCACCCAAAAATGAAAATTCTGTCATTAATTACTCACCCTCATGTTGTTCCAAACCCGTAAGACCTTCGTTCATCTTTGGAACAGAATTTAAGATATTTTTACGAATATTATATATATTATAATATATATTGTTACGAAGCTACGAGAATACCTTTTTTCGAAAAAGTGAAATAAAGTTATTTTTGTTTTCTTTGCGCAAAAAAGTATTCTCGTAGCTTTGTAACTTTACAGTTGAACCACTGATGTCACACGGACTACTTTGTCGATCATCTTGGTACTTTTCTGGACCTTGAACGTGGTAGTTACCTTGCTGTCTATGGGAGGGTCAGAGAGCCCTCAGATTTCATCAAAAATATCTTCAATTGTATTCTGAAGATGAACGAAGGTCTTACGGGTTTGGAACAACACGAGGGTGAGTAATTAAAGACAGAATTTTCATTTTTGGGTGAACTAACCCTTTAATGCATGGTTTTTCCTTCTGGATTGTCAGTAAGCCTTTGAGCCTTCTGTAATAGTTGCATATGAGTCCCTCAGTTGAAACTATTCAGTACTAAATAAACAATAACATGCATTTTGTACGATCCTTCTTATTTTGGTAAAATAACATTTTGCAGCTTTTGACTTCAACTGTATTTAATATTAATATTCTTGTGGACTTTTTCAAAAAAACTAAAAATTACTGACCCTAAACATTTAAACAGTAGTGTGCACTGCAAAATCAGACCATGTACTGTAAGTTGAGTCACTCCTAGAAGATGTAATATTTGGTCTTTCTCATAGGCTCATTAATAAACTCCAGCCTGGCTCCATTAAGAAAATCAACCACTCCAAACTTAACTGGCACAAGGTAAGGAAGACCTGTTTATGTATTGCATTGTTTCAATGTTTTATGTGTTTTTTTTTTTTTTTCTTCATCTTCAAGTCCGTTTTATTCCTAATGTAAAAATATAATAGCAAAGCTACTTGTCTTATTCTTTTCACTGAAGCTTGAGAACCTGGGCAACTTCATCAAAGCCATTCTTGCTTATGGTCTGAAGCCTAATGACATCTTTGAGGCCAACGATCTGTTTGAGAATGGGAACATGACTCAAGTCCAAACCACACTTCTTGCTCTAGCCAGCATGGTGAGTTCTGTGCAAAACATATTGAATGGAGATTATAAAAGAAGGTTTATATCCAGGAGTTGCTGGTATAATGCCACTTTCGTTCTTTCATTCCAAGGCAAAAACTAAAGGTATGGACACAAAAGTTGACATTGGCATAAGGTATGCGGACAAACAAACCCGCAACTTTGATGATGAGAAATTGAAGGCTGGTCAATGTGTGATTGGACTGCAGGTGAGGAACGTCCTATGTGTTGTTGCTTTAGGAAACCTTTTAAAACCTTTTTTTTTCTTGGGATGTGTTCAGTAAGATTCCCTCACTCATGCTTTGTATATTGATACACATCCTTTGTTTTCACAATGGCTAGATGGGGACAAATAAATGCGCTAGTCAGGCTGGGATGACCGCTTATGGCACCAGGAGACATCTGTATGACCCAAAGACTCAAGCAGACAAGCCTTTTGACCAAACCACAATCAGCCTGCAGATGGGCACTAATAAAGGAGCAAGCCAGGTGAGTGTGTATTTAAAGGAATAATTCACCCAAAAATTTCAATTCTGTCATAATTTACCTCATGTCATTCTAAACCCATAAGACTTCATCTTTGAAAAGCAAACTAAGATGTTTGTAATTAAATATGAGAGGTTTCTGTTCCTCTCCTGAAAGTCCAGGTAACTAAAACTTCCATCTAAAAAGGTCATAAAGGCATTGAAATTCGAATTGAGCTGTTTACTCAAAGTCTTATCAAGAGATACGATTACTTTATATGATGAACAGATTACATTTTTATTTAGATTTAATTTATTCACATATAAAAAAAACATACATCAGAGTAAGAGTGTGCAACAGTGTGTAAAGAGTAACCTGTTAAAAGTAACGGTGTGGTCACATATACCTTTGTATGGTGACAAAATACAGTCATGTGAATAGGAATCCATGCAGTCTTTAATTTCACATGAGGAACGTGCGAGGTGAAACATTTCCCCCATTCGTATTTCACATTGGACTCAAGTTTGTTGACATGCAAATTTGCCAGTTTAAAGCTTGGTTTGGAAGTGATCTCCTACACTGTTGGCGATGGACCTACTCTGACCACAAAAAGGTTCGCTAAAGTGACCCGACCATTGGACATGGCTGTTCTATCCTGCTCCTGGTGGGCCAACGTTCTGCAGAGTTCTGCTCCTTCCTCCCAAACATACTTGCCTAGAAGTTTCTAGTAATGCTTGGTTAGCTGGTTCTGGTGTGTTTAATTGGGATGGAATGAAACTCTGTGGGACTTTGTCCATCTGGGAGCACAGTTGGACACACCTTGCCTAAAGACATTCTAGGAATTGGATTCCCAACTTTAGTTTTCACTTTATTCATCCTTTCTTCTTCCTCAGGCTGGCATGTTGGCCCCGGGCACCAGGAGGGATATTTTTGACCAGAAAGTGGCTGTCCAGCCACTGGACAACTCCACCATCTCGCTGCAGATGGGCACCAACAAGGTGGCCTCTCAGAAGGGCATGAGCGTGTACGGGCTGGGCAGACAGGTATACGACCCTAAATACTGCGCCTCCCCCACCGAACCCACCATCCACAGCAATGGCAGCCAGGGCACCGGCACCAACGGCTCTGAGATCAGCGACAGCGACTACCAGGCTGAATACCAAGACGAGTACCAGGCAGACTGCCACGAGGAATACAGAGCCCACTATGACCACGGCATTGACTATTAAACTGCAAGCTTACAGATTAATATTTTTGGATCCTCACATAAACAGAGCGAGTTGTTTTTTTCTCTCGCTAGCCTTTTTATACATGGCAAGAAACAGATGTTAAGAGGAGCATTTCCTATATCATCGTTCCTAAGATAATGCAGTATTTTATTAGCTAGATAGACAATAGACTATAGTCTCTAGTATTGTTTTTCCCTTTTTAAAAAAAAAGTTTTACCCTTTTTAAAAGTCAAAATGGGTTAGAGAAGCAGTCCAAGTGTTTGTCAAATAACATTCATGGCATATTAACTACAATCTCTGATTGTTTGAATTTTTTTTTTTTTTTTTAACTAAGCATATTTTTTACTTCCTGCTTTTTAAATAATTTGACCAAACAACGCCTTGCTAAATTGTGCCACAGGCCCTTGTATATGTTTAGACCAACTCCTATCTTTTTGATCAATCCCCCTCTTCTCAACTGTCTTGTATTTATTGCCAGTAATACTCAATAGAGACCTCAGTCCTGTTGAATGGCTCTTTTTTTTTAATGAATAAAGTTTTTAATTTTCCAGTCAAGTCTGTTGTTATTCTGATTAAATCAATAAGGTTCATTCATTCATATCATTAAATCTTTCAGGTTTATCTGTAGGTTTTCTCACACATTTCTATACATTTATACAGTATATTTACATGTATTTATTTATTTTTGTTCTGCGCTTTCACTTCATTTTTTTACCAGATGAATTTGCCATTCATCAACTCTACCAGATTTATATCTTCCATCCTGGAAAAGATAAGCCCTTGCGTTTGGACAAAGGGGCATGAGCGAGCCTGAATGCTGCCTTGTGTCAGCATGGAGAGGGAAACCGAGAGCTGTAGAGTGAGAACACATCTAGCACAGTCTGGCTGATTTCCGAGCAGTCATGACGCTTGGAGGACAAGGACTGGCCGGTGTAAAGGGTTCGTGAGAAAAGCAGCAAACCCCCACCTCTTCCCGCAAACACCCTGACGGGGAATAATCCCTGCTTTGTGCGCTTGTGGAATCTGGCTCTGATAATGCAGCACTCAATTAGACAGTCTGACAGAATAGCACAGGTTTCTCCTAGCAACGTTCCCTTTGTATCAAATGTGACTCCACATAAGCAGTTCCAAAGCTGCTACCTGCTTTGGGAAGAGCTTAAGTATTACAGAAAAAGTTAGTGGTTTTCCAAGTGTGTGCAGTTGAGAATTTCTACCAAAATGTACTGGTGTTGTGCTCCCTGTCCTTAAAGGGATAGTTTTATCAAAATTGAAAATTCTTTGGCAGACTTCTGTAGAAAAGGTTTTTCCAATGGTAACCAAACCTGGTTCCTCAAAATATCCTCTTTAGCGTTCCATAGAAAAAAAGTCGGTCATACGACATGAGGGTGTCATTGTTGGTTGCTGGTTTTAGTGTACAACATTTAATTCCTAACTTCTTAGTAACATTCAAATCTGGGTAAAGAAAGTGGACTAAGCAAAGGTCATTTTTTGTTATTATTTAATGAACTGGCTAAAAAGTAGATGCATCAACTCTTTAAATACACTGAATATATAGCCCCTAATGATAAAAATTAGAAAAATATTCGATTTTTCCATTCTCTCGCCAAAGTATTGCATCCCTCCTGAGATACTTTGTGTACTCTCGCAAAACCTTTGCGTTACCCCAAGAAACTTGATGTTCTCTCACAAAATATTTACGTTCTCTCACAAAACTATTGTGCTTACCCAAGAAGGTTTGTTTCCCTACCACCTCATATTTACATTGATTTATTAACAAAAAAATTGTGAGTAAATGCAAAGTTATTAGGGAAGACAAGAGTTTTGCAAGAGAGTGCAGAGTTTCTCTGTCTGGGGCATGCAAATATTTTGAGAGGGAACACAAAAGCATTGAAATAATTTTTTTTTTTGGTGTGTGTGATATTTATTTTTGATTTTACCATCACCATGTCCCTTTAGCGTCTTCATAATAGACTGACCCGAGAGGTTATAATTGACTCATACAAGATGGTGAAATTAGACGACTCAAACCTAAACATGATGGTAATAGAAAAATCCTATCCTATTACATTTTTCATCATCTTGTTTGAATTGTAATGAGTTGTCAAGAGAGTGCATTGTGTTATCCAGTTTTATTTAAATGACTCAATTTTAATAAATTGACTTGGAACTGAACTTGCAACAAACAAACTGCTGAGATTTCAAATGAACGTTAAGAATGAAGTTCAGAAATAATGTAAAACGACCCTGCGGGCTGAAGACTTCAACAGAACCTGATAGATTTTTTTTTTTTTTGTACTGTATGGAAAAGCATTTAGCAGAATTAGACAGTCATTTCTATAGCTTTCATCAGGGATTTTTGCATTAATGCTGTTTTTCTGCTGTGAAACAAGAAGCAGATAAATGATATAAAGGCGTATGAGCTCATGTATGCCTGAAAATGTCAGTATCAGAGAAAACACTATCATTTTGCTCCACAAACCACGAGATCAGTCTGTGAAAACACTGAAGTAACTTGAAATATTTGAATGCCTGTGGCATGAGCTGCTCCTCTTCAGTTACAAAGGCTGGACTATACATCTGCCAAGCATTGTGCAACCTCCAACCCTTTTGAGGAGTCGTCTCATTCAGGCTTTACACACAGTATGTGAATTCACTTTACATCACAGCAGGCTTGGCTTCAAGTACATGAGGCTGGATTGGGTTTTTTGATTAGTAGCCTACTTTCCACTCGTGGCCCAAAGAGAGTTGCTCTCAGCGTTCAGCTGCCGAGGGACCGAGGCTGGAAATTGTTTCTTCTCTCTTCTTTCTCTTTGTCCCCTCACTGCTTACTGTGATGGTTTGTACTCTGGACAGATACGACTGACAGTTGTCAGTACAGATTTTGGCTTATGAATCATCAGATAGGATTTCTGTGAGTGCAGTGTGCACGACAGCTTCCACTGTTTCTTTAAAGTATGTTTGCTTAAACTTGAATATTTACGTTTATGACCTTTGGCTTCTCCGGTCAGATGTTAGCTGTGGGAACAGTAAACTGGACATGATGCCAAGAGCTTATCCTTGTCTTTTATCCTTATTTACAACATCTCTGTGTGGTTTGCTTCTTCTAAACTCTAGTTTCTATTCTATTAGTGTCACTAAATGGAAGCGCAAAAATGGTTGTTTTTATACGGGTTTCCTAAACATCCCCCTTGTCCTCCATTGGTCAAACAAAAAGATAACCCTAAACCCAACAATTTTGTTGCGCTGGACTAAACACTGAAATTAACAAAGCAATGTTTTAAAAGTGTTGTTTGGGGAAATCAGCCAAAAAGACTGGCATGCTCAAAAGTTACACAGCTCAAGAAAATAAAAGATTTTCTTGCTTTCAGCCCATGTACATTATACTATCAATCAAACCATTTGGGTAAGATTTTTGTAATGTTTTTGCTCTTATGCTCACCAAAGCTGTATTTATTTGATCAAAAATACAGTAAAACAGTTTAAAATCGTGAAATAGGCCTATTATAATTTCAAATAACCTTTTATATTTTAATATATTTTAAAATGTAATTTATTCCTGTGTGCTCCAGCCTTCAGTGTCACATGCTCCTTAGAAATCATTCTAATACTGACGTGCTGCTCAAGAAACATTTGGATTATTATCAATTGAAAAAGCAATTTTGTAGCATTATCAATTACTTTACTGTCACTTTTGATCAGTTTAATGCATCCTTTCTCCATAAAAGTATTAATTTCTTTAAAAAAATCTGACTGACCCGAACTCTTGAATGGTAGTGTACATGCAAGTTTTGCACTTTTTTTGGACACAAACCACATTTTTGCAGGATTTTATTTTACCACACATATATTTTAGCTGGCTGTTTTTATATGCATTTAAATTCTTTGCTTTGAGAATTCTTTTCTTTGCAATGCAGATGCGACGATCTCTGCAGTATTTCATTTACTTGCTTTAATTGTGGCGATGGGAATCTGCAGAGACACCTGACTAGTGGCAGAATTACACCCTCTTAGTGTCCTGCCCTCAGACACGTTACAGATCAATCCTGAGAGCAAACAACCTTAATCCCTGAATAGTTTAAAATGATTAAAGTTTTTTATGGTCGTCGACATGCCAGTTATTAAAATAACCTTTGCATTAGTAATTTGCACGAGCATATACATAACAACCAAAAGATGGCGCTCACATAGCAAGGTACAAACAGGGTCTATGAAAGAAAGAATTAATCTTAACACAAAGAGACAACCATGTTTTGCTAACAGAATGATTTCCAGTTGGTCAGGGAAGGTAGAAGCCACTAATAACATTGAACTTATCAGTAAAGCAACACAAAACTGCTGATAACTGAGAATAATCAGTCATGAACATTCCAGCCAAAGCGGGATTTCATCACTTCAGAATGAGAAAACACAGCAAATATATCTGCTCTGCACAATACCAGCTCTGTTCAGTGAGACCCATAGTGAACCAGAGCATGTGGATCACGTGTTTAACGATCTTGAAAGCTTCCTTTGAATAAAATCTTTAGTAAATCTAGTTCAAGTGCAACAGATGTTGATTACAAAAACTTTGAAAGTTATATCACAGCTTTTTAATCTCACCCCAAACAAAACCAGTTATTTACAGCAGAATGCCCAATCTGCTTTTCTACATTCAATGAAAGTGAACGGAATCCACATCTGGACTTTTCACTGAATAACAACAACTCTGTTCTTCACACCAAATTCGGCTGACTTCAGAAATGTTGGAATGTAAGTTATTTATGCTGATATTTTATCTTTTTAGAGCTTGACAGCCTCTGGTCACCATCAGGGTTGTTTTAGTATCATTGAGATACTGTTTTAGTTTTTATTAATATTTTGAATTTGGTTTTATTTATTTTTTTCTGTTTTAGTTTTATATTTTTAATATATTTTTTTATTAGTTTATTAGTTGTTTTTACATGTCTATACAGTTTACATTAGTATTATTATTATGTATTTAATTTATTTTAGTACATCCAGATAAAATAAATGAAAATGAGAAATGTTACTTGAAATAAAAGTTTGGTCTGGTCATGATCCACTTTCGTTGCATGCAAGCAGCTAGAATTTCTGCAATAAATGTCTCCCACAAAAGAACGCAAAACTGTGAAGTTTACTTTCTACTGAAACATGCTTTAGACCAGGGGTGCCCAAACTCGGTCCTGGAGGGCCGGTGTCCTGAAGAGTTTAGCTCCAACCCCAATCAAACACACCTGAACCAGCTAATCAAGCTCTTACTAGGCATACTAGAAACTTGAAGGCAGGTGTGTTGTGGCAAGTTGGAACTAAACTCTGCAGGACACCGGCCCTCCAGGACCGAGTTTGGGCACCCCTG